TGTCTTAGGAAAGGTTGGAGGAGGAAGTAAAGGAGCTTTTGTGGGCAAGGGGCTTGGACTTCCAGCAAGCATGCACGAGTGTATTAGATAGGAGTGAATGAAGATGAATGGTTTTTTGGGACTTGATGAGCTGTTGGAGTGTGAGCAGGGTAATATTTTGCGAAGGAATTTAGGGAAACTGGTTAGTCGGACTTGAGTCCTGGAAGTGGGAAATAAAATGCCTGCACTTTACAGGAGGGGTTTGGGATATTGGCTGTTTGGAGTGACATCTAAACTGTCATATCCGAGCGCCTCTGCAAAGACAGTGATTATGTATGAATGGTGGTGGAAGTGTTGAATGATGATGAAAGTTTTTCCTTTCTTTTTGGGTCACCCTGCCTTGGTGGAAAACGGCGAACATGTTAAAAAAAAAAAATTATTAACATCACATTATGATTGCTTTTCAGTTTTTTGTAACTGTTTTTAATGTATAACCCTTTGAGGGTTTCGGACGTACTAGTACGGCTTACGACCCAGGGTTTTTGACGTACTAGTACGCCTAAATTCTAGCGCCCTTAAATCTAGTGGGAGAAAGCTGGTATGCCTTCATATGAAAGAATGGGTCTATGTGGTCAGTGTGCACAGTCTAAAAAAAATCCTGCAGCACACAGCGCATAATGAGAAAAAAAAACTTTGACCATTTTTTTGGAATAAAACAGCGAATTTGCACTGTATTTTCGTATGGTATTTATTTTTGTATTCTAGTTTTCTTGGTCTCATTTTATAGAATGGAAAACATATTACAGAAATTGAGATGATTTTGACTGGTTTTACAATGAAAGGTACCTTGAAATTGAGCTCAAAGTAGCAGAAATGTTCGATTTTTACCAAATTTCAAAAGTAAATAAATCGTGCCAAGCGTGCAATACACGTCAACTGGTGAGTCTAATATTCTTTCACAAGTGCACCAATAATATTTATACCATTTTTTACACTAATGCAGCAGTCTGCATAACAGTAAATCTTATATTTTTTGTGAGAATAAAAATTCAAGGTGGAAAGCAAAAGAATGTAAGAGGGGCCTTGAGACGTGACTAATGACCAGAGGAAATGTCATTTTAGTGCCAGGAATGTCTTTCTTGTTTATTCTGGACCCTATTCGGAAATTGGCATCTTTTGAAATTTGTGTGAAATTGGCAAAATTGCTAAATTCTGACCACTGTACTGGATAGTTGACTTTCATAAATGGGTGGTTTCTTGCACCCATTCGATAGAAAAAATGGAGTTCTAGCGAAATATTCATGATTTTTGTCGACTAGTACAGTGAAATTGGCCGAAAATGGGGCTCAAAGTGGGCAAAATCGCCGATGCGTAAACATCACCGAGACCGCTAACTTTGAGAGAGCATAATTCCATAAGTTTTCCATCAAATTTCAAACTTTTGGTGTCCTTATGATCGGGAAAAGATTCTCTATCTTTTCATAAGAGAAAATAATTTTTTTTTTTTTTAAAATTTGGCCGACCCTGAGAACGAGTTTCGGAGAGGGCCTGTCAACCCTCAAAGGGTTAATACTATGTACACTATTTTCTTATGATATTAAGTGTGTTTCAAGAAGTTTTAGCATTTTTAAAAATGGGGAAATGCTCAGTGCAACATTTTGCTCCACTTGGAATATACAGTAAATACTGTACTATTGGTGAAATAATTGTTTTTTATTCTATGTTTTACTAGTTTGGTCTTCTCATGCTATGTACAAAGAATATATGCAATATTACAGGTGTTTCAAGGTATAATACTCCTCAAATCATAAAAATAAGCCACAGTGTTTGACTTTACTGAATTATCCTGGATTAAATCTACTCAGTGTGCTTTGTGGCTGAATTCCAATTTTAGTATTATGAAATTGTAATAAATCTGAATGAATAAGTCATGTTTGTGCCATTTCCACATCCTGTTTGCTGGTGGGGAAGCTGATGGTGGAACAACAGCTCCTGATTTCACTGCTTACTTATGCTAGTTGGACGTGCTAGTACGTCGGACACAAAGTCATCACCTGTGTAACTAACCATTATGGAATGTGTGGACCCTCCTGTCCTTAGATTTCTTTTAAAAGCATGAAGAGATTGCAGAATAAGTTAGTTTTGTGCTAAGGTCAAAATATTGGCAGGTGGCAAATTTGAAGGTAACAAAAATTGTGTGCAATAGTATATTGAACACACTGACATCATCTGAATTCTAGTTCACTGGACACAGTTAATACATTAATTATATTTTTATTGAATTAAAAACCTTCAGTATAATAAAAACTATGTATTCATATTCTCATATACTAGTAGTCATAATTTAGTTTTTAAGGCTGCCCAAAATGCCTTGCATAATGAGGGGCCTTCTATTAAGTAATCTACAAATGTCAGTTACCCTAACTGTATAAACTACTGTACTAAAATTTATAGAAATAAAGTGTTTTACACATACTGTGTACCTTATCAAATTTACATTATCATCAACTTAATACATACTATAATCATTAATTTCATCAACTTAATATTATCATCATCAATTCAATGACAAGTTACAGAAACCATAGTCACAAAGCAAGGAAAACTATTTGAAGTAAATATTTTACATTCCACAATCCAAATCCATAATTCACTACATGTCACAAACTGCCCCAACAATGCCACCGCATTGCGCTGATCCCAGTGCTGGGGATATGTACAGTACGTGTGTATATAATATATAGTATTTTAAAATGTATGTACAGTTATAGAAAACAACAAGTGTTATAATATCAAGACATAGTAAAAAAATGTACTTTGAGATACCATCTTAAAGGTGTTTATGTCCAAGTAAAATTTAGAGATATTTCAGCATCGAAACTTAATAAGTGTGGCATACCCAACATAATTATAGTAATATGTGCTAGAAGTTTTCTCCATGGGAAAGTGGAACAGAATTCTTCCTTTGTAAGTCATGCATGTCGTAAGAGGCAACTAAAATGCTGGGAGCAAGGGGCTAGTAACCCCTTCTCCTGTATAAAATACTAAATTTAAAAAGAGAAACTTTCATTTTTCTTTTTTAGGCCACCCTGCCTTGGTGGGATATGGCCAGCTTGTTGAAAGAGAAAAGTGCAAGAAGTTTGTCAAATACTATTTAAGTTTTAAAGTGTACATTACTGCTTTTTTAACTGACATTCTACTGTAATACATCAGAACATCATTCCTGAAAATTTGACATACAATCTAATTTAGGGCAAATTGAACTGATGATCATATGCAAAAAATAGGGTTGTTTCACAGGCCCCCCAAAAGTGCCAAACAGATTTTTTTTTAAATATCTTGATTGGTAGGTTGGTAGACAGCAACCACCCAGGGAAGTACTACCGTCCTGCCAGATGACTGTGAAACAGAAACCTGTAACTGTTTTGCATGATGGTAAGATTGCTGGTTTCTTTTTCTGTCTCATAAACATGCTAGATAACAGGGATATCTTGCTACTCCTACTTACACTTTGGTCACACTTCACAGACACGCACATGCATATATATATACATATATACATATATATATACATATATTATAGGTAGTAGGTTGGTAGACAGCAACCGCCCAGGGAGGTACTACCGTCCTGCCAAGTGAGTGTAAAACGAAAGCCTGTAATTGTTTTACATGATGGTAGGATTGCTGGTGTCCTTTTTTCTGTCTCATGAACATGCAAGTTTTCAGGTACGTCTTGCTACTTCTACTTACACTTAGGTCCCACTACACATACATGTACAAGCACATATATACACACCCCTCTGGGTTTTCTTCTATTTTCTTTCTAGTTCTTATTCTTGTTTATTTCCTCTTATCTCCATGGGGAAGTGGAACAGAATTCTTCCTCCGTAAGCCATGCGTGTTGTAAGAGGCGACTAAAATGCCGGGAGCAAGGGGCTAGTAACCTCTTCTCCTGTATATATTACTAAATGTAAAAGGAGAAACTTTCGTTTTTCCTTTTGGGCCACCCCGCCTCGGTGGGATACGGCCGGTGTGTTGAAAGAAAGAATACATATATTATAGGTAGTAGGTTGGTAGACAGCAACCGCCCAGGGAGGTACTACCGTCCTGCCAAGTGAGTGTAAAACGAAAGCCTGTAATTGTTTTACATGATGGTAGGATTGCTGGTGTCCTTTTTTCTGTCTCATGAACATGCAAGATTTCAGGTACGTCTTGCTACTTCTACTTACACTTAGGTCACACTACACATACATGTACAAGCACATATATACACACCCCTCTGGGTTTTCTTCTATTTTCTTTCTAGTTCTTATTCTTGTTTATTTCCTCTTATCTCCATGGGGAAGTGGAACAGAATTCTTCCTCCGTAAGCCATGCGTGTTGTTAAGAGGCAACTAAAAGCCGGGAGCAAGGGGCTAGTAACCTCTTCTCCTGTATATATTACTAAATGTAAAAGGAGAAACTTTCGTTTTTCCTTTTGGGCCACCCCGCCTCGGTGGGATACGGCCGGTGTGTTGAAAGAAAGAAAGATATACATATATATATACAGGCTGCAGAACTGGTCCAGCAATTGGCTCCTGGAGTTCAATCCCACCAAGTGCAAAGTCATGAAGATTGGGGAAGGGCAAAGAAGGCCGCAGACGGAGTACAGTCTAGGGGGTCAGAGACTACAAACCTCACTCAAGGAAAAAGATCTTGGGGTGAGTATAACACCAGGCACATCTCCTGAAGCGCACATCAACCAAATAACTGCTGCAGCATATGGGCGCCTAGCAAACCTCAGAACAGCATTCCGACATCTTAATAAGGAATCGTTCAGGACCCTGTACACCGTATACGTTAGGCCCATATTGGAGTATGCGGCACCAGTTTGGAACCCACACCTAGCCAAGCACAGTAAAGAAACTAGAGAAAGTGCAAAGGTTTGCAACAAGACTAGTCCAGAGCTAAGAGGTATGTCCTACGGGAGAGGTTAAGGGAAATCAACCTGACGACACTGGAGGACAGGAGAGATAGGGGGGACATGATAACAACATACAAAATACTGAGAGGAATTGACAAGGTGGACAAAGACAGGATGTTCCAGAGATTGGACACAGTAACAAGGGGACACAGTTGGAAGCTAAAGACACAGATGAATCACAGGGATGTTAGGAAGTATTTCTTCAGCCACAGAGTAGTCAGTAAGTGGAATAGTTTGGGAAGCGATGTAGTGGAGGCAGGATCCATACATAGCTTTAAGCAGAGGTATGATAAAGCTCACGGCTCAGGGAGAGTGACCTAGTAGCGATCAGTGAAGAGGCGGGGCCAGGAGCTCGGACTCGACCCCCGCAACCTCAACTAGGTGAGTACAACTAGGTGAGTACATACATCTAGGTTTTTCTCCTTTTTCTAAATAGCTCTTGTTCTTCTTTATTTCTTCTATTGTCCATGGGGAAGTGGAAAAGAATCTTTCCTCTGTAAGCCATGCCGGGAGCAATGGGCTAGTAACCCCTTCTCCTGTAGACATTTACTAAAAAAGAGAAGAAGAAAAACTTTATAAAACTGGGATGCTTGAATGTGCGTGGATGTAGTGCGGATGACAAGAAACAGATGATTGCTGATGTTATGAATGAAAAGAAGTTGGATGTCCTGGCCCTAAGTGAAACAAAGCGGTGGGGGGAAATAAATGGAATTAAATCTGGAGTATCTGAGAGAGTTAGAGCAAAGGAAGGGGTAGCAGTAATGTTGAAGGATCAGTTATGGAAGGAGAAAAGAGAATATGAATGTGTAAATTCAAGAATAATGTGGATTAAAGTAAAGGTTGGATGCGAAAAGTGGGTCATAATAAGCGTGTATGCACCTGGAGAAGAGAGGAATGTAGAGTGAGAGAGAGAGAGATTTTGGGAGATGTTAAGTGAATGTATAGGAGCCTTTGAACCAGGTGAAAGAGTAATTGTGGTAGGGGACCTGAATGCTAAAGTAGGAGAAACTTTTAGAGAGGGTGTGGTAGGTAAGTTTGGGGTGCCAGGTGTAAATGAAAATGGGAGCCCTTTGATTGAACTTTGTATAGAAAGGGGTTTAGTTATAGGTAATACATATTTTAAGAAAAAGAGGATAAATAAGTATACAAGATATGATGTAGGGCGAAATGACAGTAGTTTGTTGGATTATGTATTGGTAGATAAAAGACTGTTGAGTAGACTTCAGGGTGTATATGTTTATAAAGGGGCCACAGATATATCAGATCACTTTCTAGTTGTAGCTACACTGAGAGTAAATGGTAGATGGGATACAAGGAGAATAGAAGCATCAGGGAAGAGAGAGGTGAAGGTTTATAAACTAAAAGAGGAGGCAGTTAGGGTAAGATATAAACAGCTATTGGAGGATAGATGGGCTAATGAGAGCATAGGCAATGGGGTCGAAGAGGTATGGGGTAGGTTTAAAAATGTAGTGTTGGAGTGTTCAGCAGAAGTTTGTGGTTACAGGAAGGTGGGTGCGGGAGGGAAGAGGAGCGATTGGTGGAATGATGATGTAAAGAGAGTAGTAAGGGAGAAAAAGTTAGCATATGAGAAGTTTTTACAAAGTAGAAGTGATGCAAGGAGGGAAGAGTATATGGAGAAAAAGAGAGAGGTTAAGAGAGTGGTGAAGCAATGTAAAAAGACAGCAATGAGAGAGTGGGTGAGATGTTATCAACAAATTTTGTTGAAAATAAGAAAAAGTTTTGGAGTGAGATTAACAAGTTAAGGAAGCCTAGAGAAAAAATGGATTTGTCAGTTAAATTATAGGAGAGGAGAGTTATTAAATGGAGAGTTAGAGGTATTGGGAAGATAGAGGGAATATTTCGAGGAATTGTTAAATGTTGATGAAGACAGGGAAGCTGTGATTTCGTGTATAGAGCAAGGAGGAATAACATCTTGTAGGAGTGAGGAAGAGCCAGTTGTGAGTGTGGGGGAAGTTCGTGAGGCAGTAGGTAAAATGAAAGGGGGTAAGGCAGCCGGGATTGATGGGATAAAAATAGAAATGTTAAAAGCAGGTAGGGATATAGTTTTGGAGTGGTTGGTGCAATTATTTAATAAATGTATGGAAGAAGGTAAGGTACCTAGGGATTGGCAGAGTGCATGCATAGTTCCTTTGTATAAAGGCAAAGGGACAAAAGAGAGTGCAAAAATTATAGGGGGATAAGTCTGTTGAGTATATCTGGTAAAGTGTATGGTAGAGTTATTATTGAAAAAATTAAGAGTAAGATGGAGAATAGGATAGCAGATGAACAAGGAGGCTTTAGGAAAGGTAGGGGGTGTGTGGACCAGGTGTTTACAGTGAAACATAATAAGTGAACAGTATTTAGATAAGGCTAAAGAGGTCTTTGTGGCATTTATGGATTTGGAAAAGGCGTATGACAGGGTGGATAGGGGGGCAATGTGGCAGATGTTGCAGGTGTATGGTGTAGGAGGTAGGTTACTGAAAGCAGTGAAGAGTTTTTACGAGGATAATGAGGCTCAAGTTAGAGTATGTAGGAAAGAGGGAAATTATTTCCCAGTAAAAGTAGGCCTTAGACAAGGATGTGTGATGTCACCGTGGTTGTTTAATATATTTATAGATGGGGTTGTAAGAGAAGTAAATGCGAGGGTCTTGGCAAGAGGCGTGGAGTTAAAAGATAAAGAATAGCACATAAAGTGGGAGTTGTCACAGTTGCTCTTTGCTGATGACACTGTGCTCTTGGGAGATTCTGAAGAGAAGTTGCAGAGATTGGTGGATGAATTTGGTAGGGTATGCAAAAGAAGAAAATTAAAAGTGAATACAGGAAAGAGTAAGGTTATGAGGATAACAAAAAGATTAGGTGATGAAAGATTGGATATCAGATTGGAGGGAGAGAGTATGGAGGAGGTGAATGTATTCAGATATTTGGGAGTGGACGTGTCAGCGGATGGTTCTATGAAAGATGAGGTGAATCATAGAATTGATGAGGGGAAAAGGGTGAGTGGTGCACTTAGGAGTCTGTGGAGACAAAGAACTTTGTCCTTGGAGGCAAAGAGGGAATGTATGAGAGCATAGTTTTACCAACGCTCTTATATGGGTGTGAAGCATGGGTGATGAATGTTGCAGCGAGGAGAAGGCTGGAGGCAGTGGAGATGTCATGTCTGAGGGCAATGTGTGGTGTGAATATAATGCAGAGAATTCGTAGTTTGGAAGTTAGGAGGAGGTGCGGGATTACCAAAACTGTTGTCCAGAGGGCTGAGGAAGGGTTGTTGAGGTGGTTTGGACATGTAGAGAGAATGGAGCGAAACAGAATGACTTCAAGAGTGTATCAGTCTGTAGTGGAAGGAAGGCGGGGTAGGGGTCGGCCTAGAAAAGGTTGGAGGGAGGGGGTAAAGGAGGTTTCGTGTGCGAGGGGCTTGGACTTCCAGCAGGCATGCGTGAGCGTGTTTGATAGGAGTGAATGGAGACAAATGGTTTTTAATACTTGACGTGCTGTTGGAGTGTGAGCAAAGTAACATTTATGAAGGGGTTCAGGGAAACCAGCAGGCCGGACTTGAGTCCTGGAGATGGGAAGTACAGTGCCTGCACTCTGGGGGAGGGGTGTTAATGCTGCAGTTTAGAAACTGTAGTGTGAAGCATCCTTCTGGCAAGACAGTGATGGAGTGAATGATGGTGAAAGTTTTTCTTTTTCGGGCCACCCTGCCTTGGTGGGAATCAGCCAGTGTGATAATAAAAAAAAAAATAGTGAATCTCACCTCACATTCTGTCACTCATAGCTTAAATTATTATTATAATAAAAAAGAAGCGCTAAACAACAAGGGCTATATAGCGCTGCAGGGCAGAAAGGAAGCAAGGGTATCAGGTGGCAAAAGGGAGATGGATGAGTAATAGGTTACGGAGAACAGCAGGGCAGTGGATGGTGAAAGGGTAGAGGGAAGCAAGAGATTGAGGTAGAAAGGGCTGAGGGGAGTGCGAAAGGTATCATCATCAGAGTTTGTGGAGTAAATCAGTCGTTGTCAAGAAGTCAATGAGAGAGTCAGGATTAAAGGAGGGTCCATCAGCAAGAAGGGAAGGTAAAGAGAGAGTAGTAGAGCGGAGACAACGTTGGAGGTAAATTCTGTGTCCTTGTTGATAGAGAGGGCAGTCTAACAAAATGTGGCTAATCGATAGTGGAACTTGACACTGCTCACAGAGAGGAACAGGGTGCCTCTCCATGAGATACCCATGAGTAAGACAAGTGTGGCCAATGCGAAGGCGGGAGAGAGTAGTCTCCCGACCTCAGCACTGATGACAAGAAGACGGCCAGTAACCTATGCTTGGTTTAATAGAATGAAGTTTGTTACTGAGCAGAGTTGACCAACGTTGTTGCCAATGGGTGTGAAGGTGGGTAGCTATTACAGCAAAATAGTCCAGAAATGAAACACCTCTATATGAAATTGGTAGGTCATGTACTGCCGACCACGCAGCAGTGTCTGCCTGTTCATTGCCCTGTACGTCAACATGACCAGGGACCCAGCAAAAAACAATATCTTTATGCCTGGTAGAGATACGGCGTAGCCAAACTTGGATACAGAGAACTAGGGGTTGAGGTGTATCAAATTTCTGTATAGCCTGTAGAGCACTAAGGGAGTCTGAGACAACCACAAATGATGACACAGGCATAGATGCGATACGAATAAGTGCTGCAAGAATGGCATACAATTCAGCAGTAAAAATGCACATCTGACATGTATGAGGTTTACTGTAAGTCTATTGAGGCAAGTAAGGTGTCGGAGGCATCATATTGAGATGTCAACATTGATAAAAATAAAATCCACATTTTCTTACCAAACTATACCAAATATATATGAACTTGCCACACTTATACCAAACAAACACATGCAAAAGTCTGATGCATTTGCAAAATTAATAACCAAGAAAAATAAAATATTACTAATAAAATGGTGTGTGAGGCAGTGTCTGAGATCTGGATAGGTCTTGTCTATGGCTTTGGCTCCTAGCAACAGTGAGAGCACAGATTTCTACTGTAATACAAGTCTTTAAAACATGTTTAAATTCTCTGTACAGTTTTAAATTTGTATGATACATACACAAGGGGCCAATAATGTGGTGTTTAGTGGAAGAGAGAGAATGACACTACACACTTTGGTTCAAGCTGAAGCCAAAGTCAGCAGGAAAATGAGATGCCTCCACCTCCTCTCTTAAGGTATTACTGATATGCTGATATGCTAATATAACAAAGGCAGCCGGTGATAGGAAGCTTTCTCTACAATACTGGAAAAACAGTAATTAATTAAAAAACTGCCTGCAACAGGGTGGGTATGGTTCTAACCTGTGCACATTTTAAAGGCTACTATACCCGTGGCTCACCTGGGTGTGCAGTCTTTAACCATGCCCTCTAATTCTTCCTTTATCCCCTAGTAAAGTTTTTTCTTGTCTACTTTGTCTATGCCCATAAGTATTGTGTGTGTTATTATCATATTCCCGTGCTCTTCCCTCCAATGAGATAAAGCCAACCAGTATTTCCAGTATTTTTCCCCATAGTTCATTCCTCTCAGCTTGGTCACCAGTCTTGATGCTCTTTGCATTCTCTCGGCTTCACTTTGTTTATCTAACCATTCCTGAAGAATATACAGCTTTCCTTGCAACCTTAATTTATCTTATCCAGTTAACATTCTTGTCATTGTGTGCATGGTAATATAGATATCTGAGAAGTCACTGAACCCTAGCAACCATAGAAAACTATTTTAATTCATCAAAGATGAAGATAATTATTACAAGGTGAGCGTGCATCCATATAGTGATCATATGCCTTAAGAGCATCAAGTATGCTCATGCACAGCCAACAGAAGTTGACACCGCATTCCAGACATGTCATCTTGTTACAGCCATCTATCTTCTGTTTGGGGGAAAAATATAACTACTTTATATTTGGTAATTACCACATATTGAGGTTCAACAAAATGTAAACTTAAAGAACAGCATATACAAAGAGTGTCATGTGTGTAGAATGTGTTTATACAGTATTCTGAAATATTTAAGTGTTGAAACACTTATTAGTGATTACTGGTACAGAAATATGCATAAAATCACCTTCTGGAGTTAGCTTCAAATGTTAGTTATTTACCTGAAAGAAAATACTTACAGTTACAGTTTTCACACTGCTACATTTTATCACTGACTCCTTCTCTGTCCATCATGGAGAACTATGCTATCAATGCCAGGGGTCTGTCATGCAGATCTATGTCATGTGCTCAGCTTACTCAAACAATTCAAGAAGTAAATTTGGGTCTGGTGCAGCAAGTGTGTATATCTTAAAAAATCCTGCCTTATGTTGGTGAATGATGGGAAAAGCAAAACTGCCCTTGTGTTTGGTATAAAATAGTAAATTTGAGGTGTTTTCTATGATAATTTTTATGGTTTTATTGGCTATTCTTTGATATCATTTGATAGAATTGAAGCCATACTAGTGAATGGTAATTTTATTTAGTTCCAGGGCTGGAAATCGGCCTCAAATTGATGGAAATATTAAATTTTTTGCCAATATTCCTACACCATCTCCCTGGGTCTATTTTATTGGTTTACTAGGTCTGACTCAATTTTTGGGATGCTGTAAACCATGACCAATCATTCCAGGTTATATATATATATATTATCTGAGAAATAAGGTAAATCTTCAATTTTTTTTATGTGATGATGAATTCAAAATGGAAGGCAAGTGTAATACAGGAGAGGCTTGGAGAAGTGATTAATGAACAGAAATTTTTTTAGTGCCATATTTATTTTGAACACAGTTATTAAATTGGAATTTTTTAAATTTTGTGTAAAATTGGCCAAATTACTGACTACTGGCATATGCCAAATAACTAATAATTTGGTCAAATTAAGCAATGTAATTGACTTAAAATAGGACTCCAAATCAATGAAATTGCCAATACATTAATTACACCCAGGCCACTAACTTTGCACCTGCATAATTCCACAGCTTTTCCATCAAATCTCGTGCTTTATGTGTCATTACCTTCAGAAAAAACATTTTCAACCATTTCAGAAGATTTTTTTTTTTTTTTTTCAACAAGTCGGCCGTCTCCCATCGAGGCAGGGTGACCCAAAAAAGAAAGAAAATCCCCAAAAAGAAAATACTTTCATCATCATTCAACACTTTCACCACACTCACACATTATCACTGTTTTTGCAGAGGTGCTCAGAATACAACAGTTTAGAAGCATATACGTATAAAGATACACAACATATCCCTCCAAACTGCCAATATCCCAAACCCCTCCTTTAAAGTGCAGGCATTGTACTTCCCATTTCCAGGACTCAAGTCCGACTATATGAAAATAACCAGTTTCCCTGAATCCCTTCACTAAATATTACCCTGCTCACACTCCAACAGATCGTCAGGTCCCAAGTATCATTCGCCTCCATTCACTCCTATCTAACACGCTCACGCACGCTTGCTGGAAGTCCAAGCCCCTCGCCCACTAAACCTCCTTTACCCCCTCTCTCCAACCCTTTCGAGGACGACCCCTACCCCTCCTTCCTTCCCCTATAGATTTATATGCTTTCCATGTCATTCTACTTTGATCCATTCTCTCTAAATGACCAAACCACCTCAACAACCCCTCTTCTGCCCTCTGACTAATGCTTTTATTAACTCCACACCTTCTCCTAATTTCCACACTCCGAATTTTCTGCATAATATTTACACCACACATTGCCCTTAGACAGGACATCTCCACTGCCTCCAACCGTCTCCTCGCTGCTGCATTTACCACCCAAGCTTCACATTCATATAAGAGTGTTGGTACCACTATACTTTCATACATTCCCTTTTTTGCCTCCATAGATAGCGTTTTTTGACTCCACATATACCGCAATGCACCACTCACCTTTTTTCCCTCATCAATTCTATGATTAACCTCATCCTTCATAAATCCATCCGCTGACACGTCAACTCCCAAGTACAGTGGTCCCTCGTTTTTCGTAATTAATCCTTTCCTGGAGGAGCTACTATAAACGAAATTTACGATTTGCAAATCAATTTTCCTCATAAGAAATAATGTAAATACAATTAATCCGTTCCTGACACCCAGAAGTATTAAAACAAAAAAAATTTTTACATGAAATATACATATAGTACATAAACAATACAATGGGAAATGATGAATGAAACATTAACAGCATAACACTTACCTTTATTGGAGATTCTTCTTAGTGTATGGGAGACTGGAGGAGGAGAGAGATTGGATTGTTTACAGTTTGGAAGGGGAATCCCCTTCCAGCAACACCTCAGGTACCAATTGCTTCTCTGGGGTTGCTTCTCTTCTCTGTTTCTTAATGCCACTAGGACCACCTTGAGAGTCACTCTAGTCCTGTCTTGCAAAGTAACTGTGGAGAGAGCTCTGTTTCTGGCGTCTCTTTAACACTTTCTTAAAATGGCCCAAGACTTTGTCACTACATATTTCTCACCTTCTTTACCACAGGCTTGGCACTAGGAGCTTTCTTTGGAGCCATGGTAGTTTATTTATTAATTGCAAGCACTAAAATGAGTTGAATATTATGAAATATTTCGTAGGAGCACTTGAGGGGACCTTCACTCACTGGTAAACAATGCCAGACTGGCTGGGTAGGGAGGCCGCCCCGGCTCACACCGTGCGTACGCGTCCCGGACGAACTACTATTCGCGAGTCAACCTATGAAAAGCGAGTCCATGTTTATACAAAAATACCCCTATGATTGGCGAAATTTACGATTGCCGAGAACTATGAAAAGCAAGGGACCACTGTATCTGAAAACATTCACTTCTTCCATACTCCTCCTCCCCAATTTGATATCCAATTTTTCTTTATCTAAATCATTTGATACCTTCATCACCTTACTCTTTTCTATGTTCACTTTCAACTTTCTACCTTTACACACATTCCCAAACTCATCCACTAACCTTTGCAATTTTTCTTTAGAATCTCCCATAAGCACAGTATCATCAGCAAAAAGTAACTGTGTCAATTCCCATTTTGAATTTGATTCCCCATAATTTAATCCCACCCCTCTCCCGAACACCCTTGCATTTACTTCTTTTACAACCCCATCTATAAATATATTAAACAACCATGGTGACATTACACATCCCTGTCTAAGACCTACTTTTACCGGGAAGTATTCTCCCTCTCTTCTACACACCCTAACCTGAGCCTCACTATCCCCATAAAAACTCTTAACAGCATTTAGTAACTTACCACCTATTCCATATACTTGTAACATCTGCCACATTGCTCCTCTATCCACTCTATCATATGCCTTTTCTAAATCCATAAATGCAATAAAAACTTCCCTACCTTTATCTAAATACTGTTCACATATATGCTTCAATGTAAACACTTGATCTACACATCCCCTACCCACTCTGAAGCCTCCCTGCTCGTCCGCAATCCTACATTCTGTCTTACCTCTAATTCTTTCAATTATAACCCTCCCGTATACTTTTCCTGGTATACTCAATAAACTTATTACTCTATAATTTTTACAATCTCTTTTGTCCCCTTTCCCTTTATATAAAGGGATTATACATGCTCTCTGCCAATCCCTAGGTACCTTCCCCTCTTTCATACATTTGTTAAACAAAAGTACCAACCACTCCAACACTATATCCCCTCCTGCTTTTAACATTTCTGTCATGATCCCATCAGTTCCAGCTGCTTTACCCCCTTTCATTCTACGTAATGCCTCACGTACCTCCACCACACTTACATTCTGCTCTTCTTCACTCCTAAAAGATGGTATACCTCCCTGGCCAGTGCATGAAATTACCGCCTCCCTTTCTTCCTCAACATTTAAAAGTTCCTCAAAATATTCTCGCCATCTACCTAATACCTCCCTCTCCCCATCTACTAACTCCCCTACTCTGTTTTTAACTGACAAATCCATACTTTCCCTAGGCTTTCTTTTTTTTAAGAAATAAAAAAAAATGTGGACACTGTGAGCAATTTTAATAAGGGGGTTAAATATAACAAACCATGCCCAAATAACCTACCTCTATTTTAGCACGGCATCTAGGACACTGTTTGGAATTCTCATCCAGGTAATTCATGGAGAGGTATTCATCCCTCAACATGCTTAAATACTTCTTGCCATATTGCTCCTCCAAGGCTCCTCTCTCAGATTCATCACCATTAATGTACGTTTCCATTATCCTTCTTGATTCACTGTGCTTTAAGCGGCAAGGGTCAACGCCATGCCACCCAAACCTGCAAAGATATTCATGATTTAATTATAAAAGCTACAATAGGAGTCAGATCATTCGCTAACAGAAGAACAACAAAATCCACAAGGAGTAAAGTGGATAAGCTGGGCTTTAATATATCTGTTCTTGTGTGTCTTGCTGGAGACTAGTGAATTCCTACCTTATGCCTGTTATTTTTACTTCTGGAATTGAGAATGAGTGTCTAACAACTTTGAAAAGCTTCTGCCAATCCCTTTTGCATTTTCTGTAGTGGTTTTAAAATATATGACAAATTTATTACAATTCAATGCTCTAATTTACAATATTTCTTACTCCATTATCCCTACATCTTTTCGCTCTCTTGCATTAATGTGAGCTGATCAAATTCTGGCTGATTCACACTTTCACATTAGCCTTTTCCTGAATATTAACAAAACTAATAAAAGGATTATTATGCAAATATTTTGACTGCTACTGACAACTTTCAAAATCATATTTACCTACAAAGTTGTTAAAGTGCAGGAGGAGGTATACTGTGTAGTAAAAATAAGGAAATAATACCTGGAAGTGTTATGACAGATTTAGAAGTCAATAAACAATCAGTGCTCCTCTTACCGGCAAATACCGCAGAAGACAAATTTACATGAGGGACACTGTCCCTGGCCATCTTCAATGGTGACAGGATATTGACAATGGTAACGTGGACAGGGCTGTATATCTCCCAGGGAGGAAAGAGTAGAGTTGAGCAACATTTCATCCCATCGCTGATACATGTCTTCAGGCACTAACTCCTGGACCTATGCAAACAGTGTAGCATTACATTCATGATATCTACTTCAGTAATACTTGTGACAACATATGACTTAGCCTTCTTAATGTCATGCAAAATCATGTATGATTTTTTTAACACACTGGGCATCTTTCACTGATGCAAAGTAACTTGAAAAAAAAAGATATGAAAGTTTCTTCCTTTTACATTTAGTAATTTATACAGGAAAAGGGGGTTACTAGCCCCTTGTTCCTGGCATGGTAGTCACCTCTTATGACACAGATAGCTTATGGAGGAAGAATTCTTCTCATGAAGAAAATCATATATGGTACCCATAATACCAATGCCATCTATGAATTATAGTGGCAGGCAAATAGACAGTCAGCTTGACTGAATAATATGACTAAGCAAAGACTTAAATTTACATGGTATTCCTGTGTAATACCTTTGAGTCCCTGCACAAAAAATTCCTTTTACAGATACAACTGCATGTAAGAAAAAAACATCCAATATCAACAGCAGCAAAAGTAAGTTTTGTAAATTGTGACTAATTTGCTTACTGGCGTATAGTCTCCTGTCACCTATAAAATTTGGTTCTGTGATAATTTTCAATTGTTTAAATTTATTCAGCTTCCAAGAAAGGGCTAACTGATCTTCAAAACCTTTAAAAACTGACTGATTAATCATCATACTAGAATACAATATGTACTGACTTCATATACAGGTTTTAACAGTTATTTTCTTTTTATATTTAAAGCATTTTCAGGTTAAATCAACTTTCAGGTACACACCATCAAGGGTATGAATAAATTTCAAGGATACTATACTGTATAATAAAAGGGAATATGGTATACGTATCTTACCTGTTTGGGGTTGGCCTCAGATTCACACTTGTTCTCTGGACACATTAGATACTTGATATTTCCTTCACTGATCTGCACAGCAAAGTATGACGCCATGCAATCTTTGCAGTAAACATGTCGGCATGGCCAGAATTCTAAGCAATTCGCACCTAGTTTGTCCATAAAGCAGACTTTACACTCAAAATTTTTGGTGTCAAAGACTTTCCTTCTCATTTCTTCATCATAATCTCTCAGAAGTCTCAGCATGTTCGTTTTAGGAGCAATGTCTTGAATAGTTCGGCAGTCATAGTTCTGACTGTTTTGTCTTGACAGTGTCAAACTTGAAGCTCCATCATCAGCACCATTACCAACACTACCACTATCACTCACACTATCACATTTCTTTTCTCCATCAGAAATAGCACCACACGTGTCTCCCTGCCCATCATTTGCTGCCACAAGTCCGCAGTTATTTGCAGCTCCAGCTGACTGACGGATAGGTTTTATGTTGTCCAAGTCTAATGTGCCCGTAAAGCCTAAGAGGTTTAGACTTTCATCTTTGAGAAATTGCGCCCATGTAAACATCACAACACAGCCTTTATTGTCTGCCCATAATCTGTCTAACTGTTGGCAGAGCTGTGTTAGCTGTAAAATTGAGTAAAAAGATAATTACTCTATGTATTTATGCAGCAGTGATAAATGGGATACAATAATCCTGAAATTCACTATCTCATAAATTACATTCTACATTCACAGCAGAATGGGAAATAAGAATACTTGAATAAACATTTTGATTACAGTAGACAGTACTCCAAAATTTAATTTTAAAATACTATAAGCTTAAATTATCAGCCTCACAAATATTAAAAAAAATCTCCTCTCAAGATCGTCATCATCTTTCAACAAACCAGCCGTATCCCACTGAGGCGGGGTGGCCCGAAAGAAAAAACAAAAGTTTCTCCTTTTAAATTTAGTAATACATACACGATATGATGTAGGGCGAAATGACAGTAGTTTGTTGGATTATGTATTGGTAGATAAAAGACTGTTGAGTAGACTTCAGGATGTACATGTTTATAGAGGGGCCACAGATATATCAGATCACTTTCTAGTTGTAGCTACACTGAGAGTAAAAGGTAGATGGGATACAAGGAGAATAGAAGCATCAGGGAAGAGAGAGGTGAAGGTTTATAAACTAAAAGAGGAGGCAGTTAGGGTAAGATATAAACAGCTATTGGAGGATAGATGGGCTAATGAGAGCATAGCAATGGGTCG